AGAAAGAAAGAAGCTAAATTAAAAGGTGGCTCTAGTCCCAGTGGTGCTGATCACACTCCAAATTTGGGCAGAGTATCTCATGGGTCACAGGACTTTCTCAAGGTCCTCTGTTCAAACTTGGATTTCAGAAAACCAGGGCAGAGATGATAGGCCTAGCCAAATCGCTTTAGACATAAAGCGCCTGTGTGCCAGTTAAGCTAGGACTCTTACTGTTTAATGCTCCAAAAACAAACACCCAAGCTTCCAGGCAAGGCAGGGAAGAGCCTCCGTTTAATCTGATATCAGCAAGTTGTTTCTTGGAGCTAAAGTGCAGCTGCCGCTAAAACCCCACACAGGCTTCAGGTGGCTCAGCTCAGCAGTCATTAGCCGGAAGGTTGGTACCCTCCCCAGAACGAGTTGCAATTCTGGAGTCAGCTTCTTGTATTCACAGCTGTCAGGCAATCAACACAATTAGGGCTCATTGGCATTTTAAAAGCTCACGGAGAGCCAGGGCAAATAGGCCACGACCATAGTTAAGTGGTAGGACCTTAGCAAGGGGCCACTTGCCATTTTTCAAGCTTCAGTCAGGTCAGATGGTCAAAAATATTGGCTTGTGCATTTTTTAATTGATGAGGGCTGTGCGTTGATGAGCTGTCCTCTAAAGGTCTATGGGCCCTCAGGGTTCTGGCCTTGGGCTCTATCACAATGGCAGCAAAGCCATCATATTACACAGTATTCAGGATTCTAGTACTACCACCAGCCCCAAACAACCACTCCCTAAATTTTAGACAGGTCCAGCTGCCTACCTGACATCTTCACTTGAATGCTCAATAAATAAGCACTTGAAATGTAACCATGATTGTTCAACACAAACCTGTTCTTTTTAGAATGTTCCAAATTTCAGTGAAAAGTGTAATCAAAACCCTTGACATCATTTTTGTCTCTTCCCTCTGTAATGCAAACACTGGGTAGTTCACTGTTCGTTCAGGCAGCTTCAAAGAACCTTGGGGCCCTTGGCATCCTCCCCACAGGTTTTTAATAATCCAGGGGAAACAAGCCAGCAGGGAGATGCCAACTTGGGTCCCCTGCAAATCTCTGTATGCTCTTTCCTCTAGACTTCCTCTCCCAGCTGTCACTTGTTCTCTGGTAGCTGCTTTCTGCCCTTGTGGCTCTGGCCTCCTCCGCACAGGTGTGCCCACGTATACATGCCCACTCCATACTCCAGGTGTCCATAATCAGGAATGTGTGACCCGCATCCACGCTCCCAAGGGTCTTCTACATTCAAGGCCACCAGTGAGAGCCACAGAGTCTAGCAATGTAAAAGCCTGACTTTCATTTACCATCCACTCTGTTAAAAAAAAAAATACAGCCTAAAGGGAGCCATCACACTGGACATACCAAGACTTAAAACCTAAATTTAAACTAACTGCAGTTTCAACCTCTCTAAAAGTGGCGTTCTGAAGCAATCAATCTGGAGTTTCCTGGTTAGCACTAGTTGGGTCATCTGCATTATTAGACACTTCCCTTGAGGAAAAGGCAGCTTTGTCTAAAATAATCTTGTTTTCTAACAACTTTGAATTCACAGGTGAGGAAAACTGAAAAATTCATGATAAATTTAACTTCTCCACATGCATTCAAATTTTGAATAAAGTGAGCTTGAGCTGCAAGCTCTGTCATTTCTGATGCTAAATGGGCATGTTGTCAATGTGTCAAGGGAACTGTTTCCCTCTCATGCTGAGTGGAGACTTTGTCAGAATATTCCTGTTACCTTGGCTCCTGCTGCCTCAAAGGTGGAGGGCCATATGTCCCTACAACAATTACAAAGAAAATTTTAAAAATTCTAGAGCCCCACCAAGTCAAATATCACATTTTATTCATATGCTATATTTTTGCACTCAGAGTGAAATTGCTCAAAACAAATAGCTTGATTCTATGTTGCATCTCACCTGCCAGTGTAATGACAATGACATGGAATCTCCAGCTTCTCAATAAACAGCTCCCCAGTTCATTCACTGTCCTCAGCAATACTTGGCTCTGGCCTTGGGGTTTTGGGCTGTCCTCCAGGCCTTTCTTGTTTTCAATGAGAAATAACCCATGATGGCTACAGAGTAATCTTTCAGTCTTTTTCTATCCACAAAAAATTGGAGGTCCTGACACTTCTTTTAAATTTGAAATGTTTCTTTCTCTTTTAGTCCAGATGGATATAATTCCTTTAAAAATTTTGTAAGCTTTCTTCTTGTGGCTCACTTATGGTTTATAAATATATGACTATATATATCAAATATATGATAGCTGATATATGTTCATGTACATATAATCATATGTATATATCATGTTATATAGTCATGTTGCATGTGATATGCAGATTATAAAATTATATCATACATAAAAACTAATTCCACAAATTCTTTGGAGACTCTCTACTTCAGACTCCAAATCAGAGTATTATGGGTATAATGATACAAATGTTGGTACACATATTTTCATTCGGGAAAAAACTGTCTTTCAGCCTCACCCTTAATTGGGGTTTCACCTGAAAGCATGTTTAAAGACTCCTCTTTTCTTTGAAGCCATTTCTTGCTTTTAACATATTTTTTAGCCAGGATGTCTATCTTGTCTTCTATAGTTCCTATATTATTACGCTTGCTCATCACTCTCTTATAACCCATATCTTTTGTAGTGAAAAGAAGTAAATTAGTTCTTACTCTAGACTGCTAAAAACCTCCTGAGTCAGATCCACAAATTCACCAGGTGCTTTTTCTATCTTCCAATATACTGCAGAATTGTTGGGGGCTCTCTCCCACCTCCAGATGGATTTGCTCTCCGTTCTCCTGGACCTCACTGTGCTTTAACTTCTCCCTTCTCAGGACCTTCACTTTTTTATATAATGGCCACAAAACATGCAACTATCTTCTGGCCCACTATGAAGTGTGGGATTTTGGAAGATTTCTTCTGAAGCCACTATAAAGACTAACATAGTCATGTGTCCAAAGTTTGCTTGGTCATAAACCCTGCTATGCTAGTGTTGGATAGTCTTAATGGAGCTTCTGCAGATCCACAGACAGGCAAGTCTAAACCTATAGTTTACTCTTTCTGCCTCTCTCGCAGAGGGTCATTATTACTCCATCTTCACATAAAAGAATATGATAAGAATAAACTCCCACTGCTTTCTACCCTTACTTCTAAAATTCTTTCTCTATCCTGACTTTTGTCCTTTCTGAAATAATTCTTTGCCTATGTTCTAGATCTTCAACACCCCACATTGTTAATTGCTTCCTCCGTAAAACATATCCACACCTTACTCAATTTCAACTTTACAACACCCACAGTTTTTTACCCATTTTCATGTATACAAATGAAAGAGCAACATCAAAATCTCTGTCTATTTTGTATAAAGCAATCCCTTTGTGTGGCAGAAACACTAGCTCAAAATCACACTTACCAAACCAAAACAAAATTATCCTTAGTTTTATGAGTGTGTCTATTTAGACT